TGTTCACCTGATACCCTGGTGTTATTTGTTAATGGAGTGCTGTGCCCGAGGGGCTGACTTATGTGCTGACTTGCACTATCTGTTTCGCATTCATTTGCTTAACTGTTGAGAAAGATATTTTCAAAAGAGGTTTTAACTGAGCCCAGATATTTTCTAAAGGATTTCACGGTTTTACTGTTTTCTCAAAGGGTTGCACTGTTCTATATAGCATGATGGAGTTCTTTACGTGATTTCTTGCTGCTCAGTTATTATTTACTTTTATTGCTCACTGAGTTGGAGTACTCACTTTACTCCCTGCACCTCGCGTGCAGTTGTAGGTATTTGTTACCCGGTAGCGGGTTAGAGCTGATTAAGGATTTTGTTATCGTAGCTGAGCAAGGTGACCGCCGGCGTTCGCGGTGCCGGACTTCGTCTTTTGATTCTAAATTTTATTATGTGTATTATTGGCCCTGTAGTCGTGTTCAGACTTCTCTAGATGCTCGTGACTTGTGACACCCCGGTCGGGCTGTGTTGGGTTGTAAATATCGATTATTATTGTCATTAAGTTGTATTTATCTATTCATTTATGTTTAATAATTTTGAAAGAGGCGTTGTTGTTCTGTTGGCTGGCCTTGTCTTCACGAGAGGCGCCATCACGACTAGTGCGGGTTTCGGGTCGTGACACATATATACATACTATATAAACTATATATACTATATATACTACATATTTATTTTAAAGTTATTAGACGTATTTATGCTTAATGTTTTACTTTGTTATTAATTTATTATGCATGATAATTTAGTTTTACTATTGTTTTGTTATTTTACTTTTTAAATGCAAACTTTAATATATAATTATATATACATGCTATACATATTATGTATACTATATATATTTATATAGCCATGTATAAGCAATTTATATTAGTATATACATATATGGTTTACAAGAAATTGCCTTAAATAAAAAACAAATTTAAAAAAAATAGCCCAGAAAGAAAAAGCCCGTTAGGCCCGTGTGGGCCCGGCCCATTTAGCCCGGGACCATGTGGGCTTAGCCCGTCGTGGGCCGGTTCCACCCGTTGAGCCCGTGAAGCCCGGGACCGCCAAAGACCAGCCCGTCTGAGCCCGGACCCGTTTGGCCCGGCCCGTTTGGCCCATTTAAGCTCGGGCTCGGCCCAGAATACAGCATTAGCCGGAGCAAAGTCAAAGGTGACCGGAGACAGCCATAGAACTGGAAACAACCAAGGTCTAGACCAAACTTTCCCAGGATTCTGCCTTGAAACAGTGATAATCGGGCATATAGAAGCCAAAGGAGGTAGATACAGGCCTCCAATGGCTTTGGAAGCCATTGATTTGGGCAATTTTAGGTGGTGGTTGAGGGTGGCGGCTAGGGTTTGAGAGAGAGTTTGAGAGAGAATTGGGATTCTGAGGCGGCTGAATGAGAGAAATGATTGGGTTTAGGGGTTGTTTGGGATTAATTATGGAAAGGTGGTTTGGTGGCCATTGATCATTTTGATCAACGGCCTGGATTGATCGGGTACGTGGAGCGGTTTAACGGTGTTAGGTTTGGGTCGGTTCAGAAAGGGGTTGGGTTAGGGTAATTGGGTTTAAAATTGGGGTTCAATTCAGGCCACAATTAAAACACAATTGGGCTATATTTTAAATAGCCATATTTCCCTTATTTATTTTATAAAAAATAGTAAAGTAATTTCTGGATATAAATTAAATGTACTAACATGATTAATAATACATAATTATCAAATTAGAAATATTGGACCTAATTTTTATAGACATAAACGTAATTAGATCTACAAGAGGCTAATATTGCACTAATATGCAATTTAGCCTTAAAAATACTAAATAAATTTGTAAAATTATGCAAAAATTATCATAGCTATATTTTTGTATAAATATGAGAGTCCAATAAATAAATCACTAAAAATGATAATTTTGGGAATAATTATTGGGTTTTTTTTGGATAAGATAGGGCAATAAATTGATTTAAAAATCTTTAAAAATTAAGGAAAGATAATAATACATTTGGACATACCTATATATGCATACATATGCTATTTTGGAAGTATTTTGCATATTAAAAATATTTAGGAAAAAATTGGGTATCAACAACAACAAGGAAGGAATACTCCCATAGCAACTGATAAACCCATGGCACAACCGTCAACTCCATTCTTTACACAGGAACAATACCAACAAATCATTCAACTTCTCAGCAAGGGAAACAATGAAGGTTCTTTTGAGAAATCTGTAGCAGCTGCAGCAGGTACTATGAAAGCCTGATTCACTTCATGTGTTAATAAATAATGGATAATACACACAGGAGCAACAAATCATATGGCATCCACTTTTGAAGTGTTGAAAACCTTTAAGCAAATACCTATGTCTGAAAGGAGTAAAGTTCATATGTCAACTGGTGATGTAGCTTATGTATCTCACATAGGAAAAGCTTCTTTAATTGAGGGTCGGGACATATCTGATGTACTGTATATCCCAAAATTCATATACAACCTTTTGTCTGTGTCTAAACTGACAAAGGAGTTGCAATGTTCCGCCCTATTCTTTCCTGACTTCTGTATCTTCCAGGATCTCTGGAGTGGTAAGGTGAAAACGATAGGTAAGGAGGATCATGGACTATATGTGCTGAAGAGGAACTTTGCACAACAAGGCTCATCATTGACAGGGATTAAAAATGCAGGAAATAATAGTGTCTGTATTGCTAGCAGTCACTCTTTTCTTACTAGTTTACTTTGGCATAGAAGGTTAGGACATGCTCCACTTGATGTAATAAAGAGGCATGATGTACTCAGACATCTAGAAGAGGGTGAACATCATCCTTGTACCGTTTGTCCTCTAGCTAAACAAACAAGACTGATTTTCCCTTTAAGTAATACAATGCCAAAATCTGCATTTGAATTTATTCATTTTGACATTTGGGGTCCCTATGGAGTACCTACATGTGATGGAAAAAGGTATTTTGTTACTATTGTAGATGACTTCACAAGATACACTTTCATATTTCTAATTAACTCCAAGTCAGACACTTTGGTAATGCTGAAAAATTTCTTTGCCGAAGTTCACAACTTATTTTCTACTCAAGTGAAAACACTTAGGATAGACAATAGATGTGAGTTCTTCAGTTCTGACTTCACTAGTTTACTACTGGAACTAGGCATTGAGCATCAGAGTACTTGTGTATATACTCCTCAACAGAATGGTGTTGCTGAGAGAAGGCATAGGACAATTTTAGACATGGCTAGATCACTCAGATTTCAAGCATCAATACCCTTAAAATTTTGGGGAGAGTGTGTTAACACTGTTGTGTACTTACTCAACAGGCTTCCCTCCAAATGCATTGACTACAAATCGCCTTTTGAAAAGCTCTACTCACACCCTCCTTCCTTGAATCATTTGAGAGTGTTTGGTTGCCTGACCTATGCAACCAGTCCTAATGTACATGACAAGTTCTCCTCTAGGGCAATACCATATGTTCTCATGTGGTATTGTCCAACACAAAAGGATTATATTCTATATAATATACATTCTAAAGTTTTCTTTGTAATCGGGAATGTAGTATTCCATGAAGCCAGCTTTCCTTTCAAGGACATGAAAAGCTCAGGCACTCCTCTCTTTCCAGTCCCGGACCTCTTGACTCCAATATCAACTCAGTCCCAGTCTGGCTCCTACATTCCACTAAGTCATACTGAAGCTACTACTGATGCACATAACCCCAGATCTTCATCCCAGGGGGAGATATCAGATCAAGAAAAAGAAGCTCCAGAACAACAGGTTGTTGTTCCTGTTGATGTTCTTGGTAATTCTGCAGCAGAAGCTCTAGATCTCCTACCTGGCTAGCTAGTTGTTCCTGGTAGCTATGACCTCACAGAAGCTTCAGACATCCAAAATCTCAGAAGATCTCTCAGACACAGTAAACCTCCATTGTGGTTGAAAGATTATGTGACATGGTCCCATGGCATTACATGTGCTTATCCCCTTTCATCATATGTGTCTTATCACCATGTAACTCCTCATTTCCTGCAATCTCTCACCATTTCTCCTCTGTCATTGAACCACAAACCTTTAAAGAGCTGCTGCTGATCCAAAGTGATCACAAGCTATGAAACTTGAGATTGCAGCTTTGGAGAACAAGCACACATGGACTATTGTTGATTTGCCACAAGGTAAAGTGCCAATTGGTTGCAAATGGATCTATAAGGTAAAGTACAAAGCCTCGGGTGAAGTGGAAAGATACAAAGTTGGGTTGGTTGCAAAAGGGTACAGTCAAAATGAGGGTCTGGATTACACAGAAACATTCACCCCAGTAGCCAAGATGGTCACTGTGAGGTCCATTATAGCTTTTGCAGCATCAAGGAACTGGTGCCTCTATCAGATGGATGTTCACAATGCCTTTCTCAATGGAAAGCTTCAAGAGGAAGTCTATATGCATATTCCTGAAGGGTTTGCCAGATAGGGGGAGTCTCAGAAGGTCTGCAAATTGCAAAAGTCCCTCTATGGACTTAACAAGCTCCAAGGCAGTGGAACTTGAAGTTGATTGAGGCTTTGCTGCAGATGGGGTTCAGACAAAGTCACTTTGACTACTCTCTCTTCATCAAGAGGACAAGTCATGACATAACAGCCATCTTAGTCTATGTAGATGATTTGTTGATCACATGCAACAATCAAATAATGTTGGATCAAACTAGAAGGGACTTGCAAACCAAGTTCAAGATGAAAGACCTAGGTGAGCTCAAATTCTTTCTAGGAATTGAGTTTGCTAGGTCTGAGAAGGGCATAGTGACGAATGAAAGAAAATATGCATTATAGCTCATTTCCGAACCAGGACTGAGTGGAGCTAAACGTGTAGAACTCCACTAGAGTTGAATCAAAAAATAACCTCTGTGGATTATGATACTTGGCTACAAAGTGACACTACAGCAGATGAAAAGTTGAAGGATCATAGTATCTATCAGAGGCTGGTGGATAGACTTTTATATCTCACCATGACTAGACCTGACTTGGCATTTGCAGTCCAAGTTCTTAGCAAATATATGCACTGTCCCAAGACATCTCACTTAGAAGTTGCCCTCAGAGTGGTGAAATATATCAAGGTTGAACCTGATCTAGGACTCCTAATGCCTGCTGAGAATACAAGAAAGCTAACAGCCTACTGTGACTCAGATTGGGGGGCCTGTGTGGAGACAAGAAGGTCTGTTACAGGTTACCTAGTAAAGTTTGGTAATGCTCTTATCTCCTGGAAATCAAAGAAGCAGGAAACGTTCTCCAGGAGCTCAGTTGAGGCTGAATTTAGAAGCATGGCCTCATGCACTGCAGAGATTACTTGGCTTGTGGGGTTGTTCAAAGAGCTAGGAATTCATGTTGATGTACCTATTCGGTTGATGTGTGACAGCAAAGCTGCAATACAAATTACAGCAAATCTAATCTTTCGTGAAAGAACCAAGCATATAGACATAGATTAATTGTCATTTTTGTAAGAGAACGGATCTCACATGGTCTGATCAAAACTGAGCATGTGTCTACAAAGGAACAACTAGCGGATTTACTTACAAAAGGTCTGAGCAAAGCACATCATGATTATCTACTGAGGAAACTTGGAGTGAAGAACCTGTTTTAACCATCAACTTGACGGGGAGTGTTGAACAGTGAGCATGTGAATGTTAGAACAGTGGGTATGATTTAGGCTTTGAGGTGTGATAGAATCACTATCTTTTAGGTATTAATTGACCCACTAGTTTGCTGATGGTTTATGGTAATATACCTTCAGGATACAACAAAGCCTAGAGATTTGCAGACAGCAATTTCTGAAAATCTCTCTTTAGAACTTCAGTTACGGACTTTCAAGAGAGCTTTTAGAGAAAAATAGGAAGAAGAGGAGTTAGAAAAAATCTGCCGTGAATGAACCACTTATGAAGTAATTTATAGGCAATTCAATTGCATTTACATCACACCTTTTCAAATAACAGACACGTCTATTCATATTGAACCATTATCCAGCAACGGTAGTATTGCAACATTAGTATTGTAACTGCAATTAAGGTTCAAATATGTAGCTGAAACTTGAGGTTTAACTTCTCTTCTATGTAATAAGCTCCCTTCTCCATCTAACTTTTCAAGCTACTTCAACAATCCCCCACTTAGCTTGAACGATTAGGCTCACAATTGTTTCATGCATAAGGAGAAGTATCTTTCGATTTAAACTTCTCCTTAGTGAAAGCATCTCAAAGTTCAAACAGAATCTTAGTATAATTAAAGATTAAACCTGATTCCTTTGTGTTAGAACTGGAAATACTGCACACACGAATCAATTAGTCCGAGTTTAAAGCTCACCAAACTTTAGCACTAATATGGCCTTGTGCTACTTCCTGAATTCATGAACATTTACAAAGACGTCTCGTCTTTTGTTGAAGCGGCACCACTTCCTATGATCATATAGGTGAAGTCTTCTGTAATACTACAATATCATGAGAAAGTCATCTGTAGTATCACTAATCTTCATTAAGAGTATAGTTACTCATCCTCCAATTGGATTTAATGCTGTAATAGTTCGAATAGCATTTTCAGCATTCACCAAATTTGCTACTAACTTGTTATTACCCATTAAACTTTGTATGCTAACAATATCAAAAGTTGGGTTCCCATTAATAGTAAACTTAATCAAATTGTCTTAGACCAAATCCAGCAGAAGTACTTCTTGTCATATCTCTCGAGAGCTCTTTTGTAAGTGGATCTGCTAGATTATTGCAAGACTTAATATAAATAATGGTAATCACTCCATCAGATATTTTTTGTCTCACATATTCATGTCTCAAACTAATATGTCTAGATTTACCATTATGAACTTTACTATAAGCTCTAGACATTGACGTTTGACTATCACAATGCAAGGAAACAGCTGGCATCGGTTGTGGCCACAACTTAATATCCATTAAAAGATTTCTCAGCCATTCTGCTTCCTTTCCCGCCCCAGCTAAAACTATAAATTCGGATTCCATTGTAGAATTAGTTATACAAGTTTGTTTCTTTGAAGCCCAAAAAATAGCCCCTCCTCCTAAGGTAAATACCCAACCAGAGGTAGACTTAATATCATTTATACTAGTTATCCAACTTGCATCTGTATAACCCTCCAACACTACTAGAAACTTAACGTAGGATAAACAATAATTTATAGTTCTTTTCAAGTAACCAAGAACTCTTGAAATCGCTTTCCAGTATTCGTTACTAGGCTTGCTAGTATATCTCGATAGTTTACATACTATAAAAGCAATATCAGGTCTAATGCAGTGCATAGCGTACATCAAGCTACCAATAGCACTAGCAAATTCAATTTGAGCTATTGCTCTACCAGAATTTTCTGCCAACTTGTACGAGTTATCATATGGGGTATTTGCTTCTTTAATATTCAAGTGTTTAAAATTATTTAATATTTTCTCAATATAATGAGATTGACAAAGAGCAAAACCTCCCACTATGTTTTCTAACTTTGATACCCAAGATTGTATCCACCTCATTTAAATCTTTCATTTTAAACTTATTCTTTGTATCATTCACACCCTCTATATTAGTTCCAATTATAAGCATATCATCTACATAAAGATAAATAATCACACCATAATCATCCGTAAACTTAGAATATATACATTTGTCAGCATTGTTATGTCGAAAGCCATATTCTAAAATTACAGAGTCAAATTTCTTGTGCCATTGTCGGGGTGCTTGTTTTAATCCATATAATGACTTAATAAGTTTACAAACTTTATTTTTATTTCCTGGTAGAATAAAACCTTCAGGTTGTTCCATATACACTTCTTCGTTTAAGTCACCATTCAAAAGGTTGTTCTAACATCCATTTGATGTACACACAAATTGTAAATTGATGCCAAAGATAAAAGTACTCTAACATATGTTATTCTAGCCACAGGTGCATATGTGTCAAAGTAGTCGATCCCTTCTTTTTGTCTAAAGCCTTTTGCTACCAACCTAGCTTTAAAACTTTGTATTGTTCCATCTGTATTATATTTCCTTCTGAAAAACCATTTGCAGCCAATAGGTCTAGAACCAGGCGGTAAATCAACTAAAACCCACGTATTGTTTGATAACAAAGAATTCATTTCGTCATCGTTGCTTCTTTCCAAAAAGCTACATCCCTTGAAGATATTGCTTCTTTAAAAGTTTTTGGATTATCTTCTATGTTTGACAAAACTGGTATTTTGTTAAGTACGGTTGATCTATCACCTTCAACTAAGAGAACAATATCATGTGTATATATAAAATTTGGATCTAGTCTCCTCTCTGTTCTAGCACGCTTACTTCTTCTAATTTCAGTAGGAGAATCTACATTTTGCTTGTTGCTAGACATTAATTCATGACTAACATCAATACTAGATTTATTATTTAATCTAGATGTAATTATAGATTCACTTGCTGAATTAGAGTCATGACAAAAATTATTTTCAAAAAATTCAACATCTCTAGATTCAACAATGATATTAGAACTGATATCCAATATTCTATAAGCTTTGGAATTTTGTGCATAGCCAACAAAAACTCCTTTTAAGGCTCTTGGCCCTAGCTTTGTTCTTTTAGGATCCGGAACTCTATAATATGCTAGACAACCCCAAACCTTTAGGTAAGCCAAGTTTGGTTTTCTTTTCTTCCATAATTCATATGGAGAAATCTTAAACTTTCTAGAGGGAATTATGTTGTGTAAGTGACAAGCTGTGAGTAATGCCTCATCCCATAAATTCATTGGCAACTTAGAATTCACAAGCATGGAATTAAGCATATCCACCAAGGTTCTATTCTTTCTTTCTGCCAATCCGTTTTGTTGTGGAGTATATGGAGCACTAGTTTGATGTATTATTCCATTTTCCTCACAAAAAGAAGAGAAGTCCGAAGAAAAATACTCACCACCTCTATCACTTCTTAAAGTTTTAATCTTTCTCCCCTTTTGATTTTCAACTTCAGCTTTGTAGTTCTTGAACATTTGAAAAGCTTGATCTTTATTTCTTATCAAATAAACGTAAGTATATCTTGAAAAATCATCTATAAATGTAATGAAGTATCTGTTTCCTCCTCTAGTTAATAAGCCATTCAATTCACAGATATCAGAATGCACAAGTTCTAATAGTTCAGATGTTCTTTCAACTTTTGGAAAAGACTTTTTAACCATTTTTGCTTGTATACATATTTCACAAATCTTTTTGTCATTAATTTTATATGAAATCAAACCATCATTAGCCATAAATTGTAAAGATCTATAGCTAATATGTGCTAAACGATTATGCCATAATGATAAGGATGAATCGACAAGATAAATAGAAACATTATTCTCATTAATACTTAACTTAAACATTCCATCACATGAGTAACCCTTGCCTACAAACAGTCCATTTTTTGACAGAATTATTTTGTTAGACTCTACTAGAACCTTGAAACCTTTCTTACAAAGCAAATTTGCAGATACAAAATTTTTTCTTATATCTGGTACATATAACACATTGACTAGCAGCAATTTCTTTCCAGAAGTGAAATTCAATTCCACACTTCCTTTTCCCAAGACTTTAGTAGAATCATGGTTGCCCATCAGAACTTTCTATCCATTAACAACTTCTTCGTAACTTTTGAATTGGCTCTTGTCATTGCAAAAATGGACAGTAGCTCCAGAATCATACCACCAGTCACTAGACTTGTGTCACGACCCAAACCCCGCACTAGTCGTGATGGCGCCTCTCGTGAAGACGAGGCCAGCCAACTAACCCAACTCCTCTTTTCAAAAATAATTTAATCATGAATAAATAGCTAAAATATGACTTAAAAATATTAATTAGAGGAATTACAACCCCACACAGCCCTAATCGGGGTGTCACAAGGCACGAGCATCTATTAGAATGTAAGTACAACCTCAAGGTCTAAAATACACTAATCAAGAATAATGAACAAAGGGAGAAGAACGATGCTGCGAGCGCTGGCAGTCACCTCGTTAAACTCCTATATCTCTGACTCTGATCAGCCAAACCCACTACCGGGTGAATAAATACCTGCATCTACACACGAGGTGCAGGGAGTAAAGTGAGTACTCCAACTCAGTGAGTAATAAAGGTAAATAAAAACTGAGCGGTAAAAAATCACGTATGTCACATCATCATGCTATATAGAAGTAGTGTAAAACCTTTTGAGAAAAATAGTGAAGCTGTGAAATCTTTAGAAATATCTTAGCTCAGTTTAAAACTCCTTTGAAATGACTTATTCAACAGTATGCAAACGAATGCAATTCAAATAGTGCAGATAAGCACAGAAGTCCGCCCCTCGGGCACCACACCCAATTAACAGATAATGTCAGGCAATCCGGTAGATATCTCATGAAGCAGCACAACAACAGGTAAGGCAAGCAAATAAAATAAAGTAAACACACAGAACAGTACTAGTACCGCTGCTGCGTGCAGCCCGCTCCACATATCGC